TTTATTTACAATTGCATTTCAAATTTATAATGCATATGTATGTATATCCATGTATATGCTCATGAGCAATGGAGGAGAATATGTGAAAATCAAATTCAAATTTATTCCGATAACCCTTAAGCAACGTGTCAGTATTATAGCTTGATGTATTAGAACAACACTATTTGGGAATGCCAGGTGCTACTGGTAGTGTTGGGTATGCTTACCCTTTTTGAAGATTCACTCTTTGTAATTCGACATCAAACGGATTACATCACACTCTGAGTAAACAATCTCATTTAACCCTTAATTAGTTAATTAATCTGCAGTATATTGTATCACTTAGTATTGCCTTAACGAGGAGTAATCCCTTGTCAGTTGTTGGTGAGTGATCAATTTATGTCTGGAGAAAGGGATTAGCCTTACTCACAATAAATTAACATTTCCCACTGCAACAGAAGAGATTATCAATCATTATGCCTTTATAAGAAAGTGAGAAAGATAAAGATTGAATGATACATAACGGGCCGTGCCTGCATTATATAGCCTGCAAGAATCGTCACTGTAAACTAATAGAGGATTAATTTCAATTTTACAGAATATTCAACTGCTAAGTATATGATAAAGTGTTGAAGTAGCATTAGATATGTTTGAGATTACAGTTTTCAATTAACTGTATAATGTAGCTTGCTGTCTTTGAGAGAGTCAGTATCTGTAGAGCTGGCTTGGTCTAATTGGTATTCAGTCCCTGGGACACAAATATTGTTTAATAGCATTGTTTTGTGAGCAGCCGGATGCGTAAATGATATGTAATATATTTCCGTATTATATTTTATAGTACTTGTTGTTTTAATATTGTTAACAACAGAGAGAACGAAGATTTTTTTTGGAAAAACCATAACAGCATGCATATGTTCTAGCAAAAGGAAACTTGATAAATATTCATTTTGCTTAATTTCTACTTTGGAAAACTTATTTGGAGCTCTGAAAGCTTGACGCTGTATAATTTGGGACGCGCATGGTTGGATGCAAACTAAATGTTTAATTCTTGCAAATTAAGACACCAGCGGCGGTATAGGAGCATATATCTAATGTCATTCAATACAGAATAATACATGAAGATGTTTCAATGTTAAGATTAAATATATCTAACGATATGGAAATTAAATCTTGATAACTGTTTTTAATCTTTGATCTTTTGGGAAAATAATAGTGGAACTGGTTGAGTGACTGACGTATTCTACATTAAAAAGTGACAGATACGTGATTTACATCATTAAAATTTAAAGTGATACAGTGATACAATTATAAGTGAGGGTTGTGATTTATTTAGGAACGAAGTCAGTATTTGGGGATTTAACTTGCGCTTTCCGACATTATGCGTATTTCGTACACGATTAAGAAAATAATGTAATTCATTTATTTATAGGAAGTACAAATGCATCAATCCTTAATCACCCGACTTGTTGAATGTTATTTCGTGAATACACAAATTGCATAACACATTCCCTGAGGACAAACCCAAATGGCCCGTCCCTTTGTGACAGGTGTTAATTAGAGAATGTATGGCCACCACATTATGTCACGGCACTTTTATGACATGTAATGAACCTAGTCGGTCCCTGAATCTGTAACAACAACATTGGTCTTATAAAATCAAAGTAGCATAAATGTTCAAATTCGTATTAAAAAATTGACTGATAAATATAACATGAATATAATTGCCCTTTTGGGGATAACATAATATTGGGAAAATATACTTAAAAGTACATGATTAAAGAATTTCAGAATCAACTGTTTCTTGTATTTATGACCGACTTCACACAAACTGAATAATTAAACATATGTTTATATAGCTATAATTACATGCATGACACCTACATTATCATGAAATAATAATGTTGGTCATGTTTGTTAATTTGTACATTTCGTTGTTATTGGTATCCTGGGGATGTTGTAATTATACACGTGTTCTGATCTTATTTGACGTAGAATACATGAAAAACGATTGGTCAACAGTTTGGTGCGGTCGATGGAAAAGCTATTTAACTGTTTAATACTTAATACGTGTTTTAAAATATGAATTAATTCTTAAGTTATAACATTAGTGCAAATTCACCCGAACGTAGGATGTACATGGACCGATTTCAAAATAGTTAAATTGACAAATTGTTTCCCATAAACCACTGAATATAAACTCACTTAGCCTTTAGAATAGAAAGGCGAATCGTTTCTTAATATATTGTCTTTTAAGCCGATGGAAGTTTAAATCACTACAACCGAGTCCGAGGCGATAAAGGATTATGTGACAAAATCTGGTATCATGGCTTAACTGTATATAAGTCACACTGTCCAAGTTTAATAATCCTCTATATCAGATGACTATTCAAATTATTAATGGTATCAGGTAGGAATAACTTGGCAAAGCATTCTGTTCTACAACATATAGCCTGTATATTGGTTTGATTTCTATAAATGTAATTACTAACAGCAAAGATGTTTTCCATCTTGTAAAAAGGTGTAATGGCTGTGTTAGTTTCTCTATATATTTTCTCGTGGCCTGTACCCCTTATCGCCCCACAGAAAGTCTGTATAGTCCGTATTGAGTGAGTGAGTTAAAATTTAACGTCTCATCGGCAATATTTCAGCGTCCGGAATGAATCTTAGTGGAAACATTCTAGGATTAATTCTTGTTCTTGGTACAATTATCCCAAATATGGGCATTATATGCTTGTTCATAACTTCTAATGATTTATGTGAAAGGAGTTATTTAACTGAGTGAGTGAGTATGGTTTACGGCGGTGGACACCAGAAAGGTATCTAAGACTTCTAAGGCAATTAATCATAGGGATTTCCTTTTTAACTCGTCAATATCAGAATCTGACTGAAATATTATTCCCAAAGTCATAAATATTAATTCCTTTCATTTTAAGATTAGGTTTTGCACTTGGGAAGACTTTAATTTAACGTGAAATAGAAAGCTTCTGTTTTCTCTGGATTCAATTTTACTTACTTTCATCCATTTGGTAATTTTCTCCAAATCAGCATTAATATTTTATGCAGTAGTATTTGGAATTGTCCCTTTGGGGAATTGTCTGGACCCCACCGCAAACACAGTAAACAGAAATTCCAATGTGAATAATATGTACAATAGTTTGTTGGCTCGACATGCAAGACTCCATAATTTTAGTTATAATGTAAAACTCATAGTAATATTAAATTATATTTAAAACAAATAATTAATGTATTTTACATGGGAGACGAAGCGACACTCATTGTATTTTATAATACAGCACAATTTTGAATGCTTTAAACCTGTTGCATTAAACAAATACTGGATTTGATGTAGTCATATAGTGAATCAATATGTGTCTAGTCTTCCAAATGTTCTATTGCGAACACATATAGTGTCAGCGCTCATGATCGCCATATTTATGAATGAATAAAAATATCATCATTAATAAACTCACCTGAGCTCACTGTGTGTTCTGAAGACAAATCGCTGTTAGGCATCCTGCACGGCTTCGTTCACGTTCACCCTCAAATGTACCATAGAAATCTGTGATTGTGCGTGTTCAATGTTCGAAAGCATTTTTGCGACAGGCGTTCGTTTATTTATTTAAATTCCACTAATTCATTAATCACATTGAGTTGCTCGCCTCTTCTCCAGTTGCTCACACTCTCAACTGATGTAGCTGCCTTGATTAACTGGAGTCCGGATGTACCTAATTACAAACTCTGTTCTAATTATGCTAATCGTGGAAATGCATTATACTGGATGACAAACTTAGTAATCCTTTCACACTAATGATCCTTGTTTACAATGAACGCATGCCAATTGACTAAACAAACATCCTTAAGTAGAAGTATCACAATGGACGGTGTGTACAACTGTTTGACAAACAATATCAACCAATATTTCATATTTAGAATCACCATTACATGAAATCACAGAAACATATATATTAAATTTTACTTTGAAAACTCAAGAACTAATGTCGTGAACGTAATATAATAGGAATTTATTCCAACGATGTGTTTCCTATATATGTTTCCTTGTACAATTTTAAATTCATGGATTTTTTATCTATTATTTTGCAATGATCGTGACAATCGCTAAAAGGCTACTCTCTTGCTATTCCGTTTAGTGGTTATTCTAGTTTAGACAGCGACAGCCTCTCGTTATACAACCAGTGCTTTTCTAACCCCGATTTATTTAAGACAGCGTCTGTCATTCGCTATACAAACAGTGTTTTTTCTAACCCCGATTTAGTTAAGACAGCGGCAGCCTTTCCCCATACATACAGTGCTTTTCTAACCCCGACCTAGTTAAGACAGCGGCAGCCTTTCGTTATACAAACAGTGCTTTTCTAACCCCAATTAAGTTTATACAGCGGCAGCCTTTCGTTAAACAAACAGTGCTTTTCTAACTCCGACCTAATTAAAACAGCAGCAGCCTTTCGTTATACAAACAGTGCTTTTTCAAACCGCAATCTAATTAAGACAGCGGTATTATTTACATTATCTGTTACTAAAATCTGCACAAATGTTCTATTTCTTATCTAAAATGCTGTCAACATCAAGAAATAAAAATTATTTCATAACACTCCAAACATAGTTGCCATAATGAAATAGTATTAACGTGTTATTGTTACGTGCAAAAATACTGTTCGGTAACATTAGTTTCAAACCCCAAGAAAACCTCTTACGAGTTAAAAAATTCAATAAAGCAGTGGTAAAATCTATCCATATATACAAAATTGTATAGTTTTGGAAATACCAACTATACAAAATTGTATATTTTGGAAATACCAAATATACAAAATTGTATATTTTGTATATATGGGTATTTTTTCTTGTGTGTCCCTTTAAGTTGACCTTTTGGGATTCTTTTTATGTGATTTTATGTTACTAGGTTTGCTGCTGTGGTTGTGGAAAATAAGCTGTGCATATGCCCATGTTTTACCTTGTCTTCCAAAAACATGTCTTAATAATCATAATCATTAGATGTTTATTTTCAGGAGACTGAATCAGATTGTCTGGAATGCTTTGCCTGAGAGTACCAAAGAAAAGTAAGTTTGGAGGTATCTGGTATGCGTCAAAGATATGTTATGTGAAAACTTAATACTTTTCTAATTTACACTGCTACATTTCTCCAGAAACAGGTCTCATGATAGACATAAGGAATATACAGACATGCTGTGATATCACAAGTACAGGGAGCTCTTCCACCTGCACTATATATTGAATGGCGATTAATATGCAGGACATATGAATGATACTCACTTCTAATATTAACCTGTACTCCCGTTTCTTCTTGTGACAGCAGTTAATGTAGGACTGTTGAAAGTTAAGAGTTGTTGGTCTACATATTTATTTTTTGTTATTTACAAAGTAGAAACAGTTGAATATTCATTTTCAGCAATTTGCAAGGTTTTTTATGCTCATATGCCTTTGGAATCACATGTAACCATTACACAAATGGTGTATCATAGTTATTGGTCCAGTTGCCCTGTCTTTATGGGAAGTGAATCACACATAAACCCTTTGGTTCAGTGTCAAAGGCTTACTTAAAATTATGATCAGATTCTGAGAGTAGTCTATGTTGAATGAGGTCACTTCACAAACAAGGCTATCTCTCAGCATGTCTTCCAAACTACAGCCATATTCACAATGTTCTCATCTCCCCGAGGCAAGAGAGTTTACTGACTTTAAAAGTCCAGTTTCCACCCTTGCCGAACTAGGCTCGAATTACTAGGCTCGATCGTAGCGCCACCAGTGGCTATTACAAGTTTTGTCGCTTCTAAGCCTCTCCTATGGACCAATCAGATTCCACCTCTCATATTACTTGCGTTTGCTTCACACAAAATGGTGGCTCCCAGTCAGGACGATCTGATCAATGATTTATATTGTGATAAAACGGGTCTTACATCGCGAAATGCATCAAATCAAGTGAGCGCCTTGATTAAAAACGTGAAAAGGTTTGGAAAATATCTGCTGACAACGAGTTGGCGGTGCATATGCTTTGCAAATCCTGCAATCGACCGAAATCTGCACGACAGTTTACGAACCGGATTTCGATTTCGGTGCGCGATTTTGATTGGACTATGCATAGACTCGTTAGTCCAGCCAAAATGTAACTCCATAATACCAGGCTAGTTCGGCAAGGGTGGAAACTGGACTTTTTTTAGTCAGTTAACTCTCTTGCCTTGGGAAGATGCAATGTTCTAGGATGTGTCTTAGTTCTGCAACAAATAGTGATATTGACTGACATGACTGGCGGAAACACCTGTTAAATTTGAAACATTGCACTGTCCTCGATGGTTTTGGATTGTAATGAGTTTCCTTTAGGTTCACTAGTCTAGTGAATGATTTGGTTGTGGGTTTAGCTGGAGAAATGAGATTTCCCATAAGTCTGTAAGTCTTGGCTTCAATGATATGAAATAGAATGTTCAGGTATTTCTCTGCATTTTATATGTCATTTGCCATGAAGTATACAGACAGTTGTTCAGCATAAGCGGTCCAAGACTTGAGGTTTTGGTTCAAAGTCGTCACAGAAATAACTACATCCTAAACTCCATGCGGTACAGATCCCAGGTTGGCTGCTGGCAGTCTCATCAAGGAATGATGTGTTAGACCCCAATGGACAAGCCAGTCTGGACAGCCAGAACAGCATTGATCGGTCCAAAAGTACTTACACTGTTGGAGAGGGTTGAGGACAACCACTAACCGTTGGACAAACAGATGAAAGAATATCCTCCACTCAGGACAGCCATGTAAGGCCAGGAAACTCATACCCTACAAAACATGAAACAATTTCACCATAAAATGGTAGTTAACACCGACAGAAAAGTATGCCAACATCAACATTTATTCCCTGAGTTGATTGAGGAACTTCACCATCTGATGCCAGGTCTCAAGCCAAATGTGGTAGATGCGGTTGTGTTTGAGATGGTAAAGTATGTAGGATGTCGTGTTCCCATCGTCGCCTCTGGGAAACAGCTAACTCATCTTTGGTTCTCAACCAGGCTATCGAGTGGACAGACAAGCTAGGGTGTGGCTATCACTTGCTCCATCAAAACGAACCAAACACACAATTGTACATAACCCGATCTACCTGTCTCCATGCGTACTGATGGGTTATTGAATGGGTTACTGGCCAACTGCAAAGGGTTTATAGCTAAGAATAACACAACCTTCAAGCTGAAAGATGTCAAAACCCTCATACTTGCTTCTTTTGCAAGAATCACTCCTGAAGTTGTGGAAAAAGGCTGAAGATCATGTCCTTGACATTGAAAGTACCGCCAAGGTGATGAGTTGATACCGGCCTAATCATCCGTGTGTGCCATGTATCCTTTTCTGTGTACCCAAAAAGAAACCGTCCAATATGTACATGTTAATAAATATGAAAAAGTTCTGAACAATGAGTACCCGTTATTCCCATTGAGATTCCAGATGGAATCAGATGTAACAATTCATCCAGGATGCAGGAAAACCATTGCACCTTTGCTTTTTATCTAGATTAGAACACCGAATAGTTTTGCTCTCATCCACCATGTGCATCTGTATTGATATATCGACAACTTTCGGTCGGACAATCAGGACAAGACCCATATCCATAAAAAAAGGATGCCGCAGACCAGGGTTCGATTCTCGACATGGGTACAATGTGTTCTCTCATCTCAACTGCTTGGTTCACCCAACCAAGTAGGAGCTCAGCCAGTTAAAGGGTATCATATTTATTGGAGCTAGATTCCAGCTTCACAGAGGAGAAGATTGTCCACCAGAAGATTGTTATCTCAAAATGCTGCAGATGGTAACTGATTTGGCAGATTGGCCCTTCTACATTCTTCGAAGCTGGATTTCTTAACTCTGGAATCTAATGTCCCTACAAGACATGACTTACAGGGGGAGACTTCTTCATCCCATCCAGGCATTGATGGACTTATCATGCGGTCGTCAACTTTGGACAAGTTAGAACTTTTTTCTCCAACATTATTGGCTTGTGATTGTATTCCCAGCAGCCAAACACCACCTGTACACGGATGCTGCCAGTGGGGAGGATAGTGGCTACAGCGAGGTCTCTACACTTTCAATGGATAACATAGGTGTGGGAAACATCATCAGGACTTGTTCACCACATGTCTCCACAACAAGCTCCCTGTTTATGTCAGCCTGGTGCTGGATCACCGAGCTCTTCATGTGGATTCATTGTCCATTGAATGGACAGGGCCGGATCTTCTAAATTACTGTATTTGGAAGGAAATAGGACTCAAATTGGATGGAAATCACTGATATTTTTTAAGGTTAATTTCTCTTTTTAAATTAACTAGACTGTTAACTATGCCAGCCTGTGTTTATGCAAGAGGCTTAAGGAGGGAGACACTATTAGTATCACAACCAGTTCAGGATAGTTGATAGTGAAGAGAACTTCTGTTGAAAATCTGAAATGTTTTACAGTGTGATGACAGTCAAAATGCAGGATTTCTGACAAAGATATTCTTTAAATTATTAAAAATGATAATTATTGTTTGATATATAAAGACAATATTTTGATTTTATTCTCAAGAAGCATGGCTTCAGGGTGTTTGTTTTCTTTTCATGATGACTGATGGTTGATATCAAATGGTGACTAGTCAAATTGTTTCACAGATAATAACAACTACTGGGGAAACCAAAGTGCTACACATGGAATATATTTTTATTGTCAATACATTGCATTAATGTATTAACTAGTATATTGAGATGTCAGAAAATTTAGTTGGTGGAAGAATAATGCCTGCAGATTTTAATTCTTTTGATCTTTGTGCTTAAAATAATAGAAGTAACCTCCTATTGACAGTAACAGAGGCATTTTGACAAGTTTTACACTCCTTGTTGTTCTCTTGTTATAAATGGTACAAATAAACGCCCCAGGAAATGTATGGCCATGTAACATTATTAGTTGAAGCATTAGTTTAGTGAATATTTTATTGATTTATTCACATATATTTAAAGATATCATACTTCCATAAAATTAGAGGAATAATTGATACTATTCTTAAAATCAAGATTATTTTTTCTTAATTTCCCTACCATCATGATAATGTTGAGAAAAAATGCATTAATTGATTTCAGATATGAGACCAACAAACCATTCTCATTCTTTGAGAATCGTGAAGGCTTGATAACTGATTTGGCAGAAACTGACTGGCAAATGAAAGAAGAAGATGTCAAACTGCTGGTGCAGGAGATAGAAAAGGGGCAGAAATTCCTGCAGCAAGCCAGAGATTTGAAGGCAGCTGCAGAACAGACCAGCAGTTTTCACCAGTCAATGACCACTGGACAGCAAATGCAGCTGCCTCAGGACACAGACAGTGCCGGCATCCTAGCTCAGATTACTGCTCCTTCCAATGTAGATAGTGAGGTCAGTTGTACATAAATGACTTACAGAAGTCACTTATGTCATTATATGTCTACTTAGTGAGACTTTTTCACACATAGATAAAAGTTCCCAACAGGTTATCCTCCCATTAGTCAGACGTGCCAGTACTAGTTTCATGCCCAACAGTCCTGAAGTTCTATATGGAATTTTTCTCTTACATAATATGATTGATACAAATAGCAGTTGCCGATGTGAGGCTATCTATGTGTCGATCATGTTAGGTGCACTTGTGATAAATGCTTGCATATTTTATATTTTGATTTTTGTGAGTGAAACTGAGTCAATTCTTTTATAAGGATATGTTAAACGTACATTTTAACGTGCTTACAATCACTGATGAAGTTAGAACTAAAGTAACCAGTATGTGCTTTTCCACCAGTTCATCCATGTGTTGCCTTTCAGTGGTATTCCTTTAACACTTCACTCCCATATATGACTATTCCTATTATGACTACTGAAAAGTAAGACAGTAAAATGAGCCCACCCATAGAATAATGGACTACTCCTGTCATCAACTTTACTTTGGTCATATATATATGCATGAACAATGTCTAATGAGAGATGTTATTTTTTATATATTATTTGTTCTTATATTCTATATTTTCCCAATAGTCACAGAGAATACCTTTCTGAGAAACCTGTTCGGCTATTCACAATAGCAATAAACATGTCAGTGTAAAATGCGACAAAAGCTCTTTTTGCAGTATTAATGAAAGCACAAAAAGTTAACTTGCCTCTATTTTGAATGTTATCAGCATTTGACACAATAGCAGTCCCGATATTAATTTGGAGATTTGAAAATACAAACCTTATTAAAAGAGTACATTTAAATTTCTTAAAATTGCAGCTGGTCATTACTCAACACTAAATTTAATGAACCACTGCATAGTATAATGTAGAAATGCATTATCATATTGTGGCATAAATCTGAAACAAATAAGGAAATTAACAAACATTTCATTCCATTTTATCAGTCTTAGTGGACCCCATAATGCTGATAAACTGGACTTGTTTTGTGAAAATGATTGTGCACTTACTTAATTGTTTAATAATTTGTTGACATGTTGTGCACAGTGGCTAGCTTCAAAGGTAGAGGAAATATTTCAAGATGTGTTTAAACCATAACTTGCCGATTAAATAGGGCACTATGCACTGTGTGACATTATTGCATAACGTGAGCTATTCTCAATTTTTCTCTTTTTCAAATGCAGAGTTTGTGTTCTCCACGAGAAGTGCACAACCTTTCCTTCACTTTGCTGAATTCATGAATAAATGAATAAATCAAATGAATATGACAAGGAATCTGTGTTGTACGTTCCCCATTTTGACTACACCAACTCGGTATCCAATTTCATCTGGAGACATAAATAGGGGTGATAGGTAGTAATATAGCATTCACAGAACCATCAAGCATGTGTATATATAGGGGTGGTAGGTAGTAATATAGCATTCACAGAACCAGCAAGTATGTGTATATATAGGGGTGGTAGGTAGTAATATAGCATTCACAGAACCATCAAGCATGTGTATATATAGGGGTGGTAGGTAGTAATATAGCATTCACAGAACCAGCAAGTATGTGTATATATAGGGGTGGTAGGTAGTAATTAGCAGTAACAGAACCATCAAGCATGTGTATATATAGGGGTGGTAGGTAGTAATATAGCATTCACAGAACCAGCAAGTATGTGTATATATAGGGGTGGTAGGTAGTAATTAGCAGTAACAGAACCATCAAGCATGTGTATATATAGGGGTGGTAGGTAGTAATTAGCAGTAACAGAACCATCAAGCATGTGTATATATAGGGGTGGTAGGTAGTAATTAGCAGTAACAGAACCATCAAGCATGTGTATATATAGGGGTGGTAGGTAGTAATTAGCAGTGACAGAACCATCAAGCATGTGTATATATAGGGGTGGTAGGTAGTAATTAGCAGTAACAGAACCATCAAGTATGTGTATAAATAGGGGTTGTAGGTAGTAATTAGCAGTAACAGAACCAGCAAGTATGTGTATAAATAGGGGTGGTAGGTAGTAATTAGCAGGAACAGAACCATCAAGCATGTGTATATATAGGGGTGGTAGGTAGTAATTAGCAGTAACAGAACCATCAAGTATGTGTATAAATAGGGGTTGTAGGTAGTAATTAGCAGTCACAGAACCATCAAGTATGTGTATTGAAACAGTAGTCATAATGGGAAGACACTTTTGTAAACTTTAATTTTATTATTTAAATAAAAAACAAAACAAATTCAGACACTAGAATTTTCACATTTTGCTTTCTTTGTTAAACATTTAACATTTATATTTACTAGTCAGCCCCTGCAGTATTCTAGAACATGATGATGTGTGCATATTATTAGTCTTATTTCATGATAGACAGTCACCCTCTTTCAATGACTTGCTCTGTTTGCCCAGAACTTTTTATACAAAACATAGGTATTGTAAGATGTTGACTTGGTAGAATGGTGTGACAAAACAGAAGCTTGAAAATAATGTAAACAAGGCTGATTAAACCGATGATTCACCTGAAGTTTCACCAAGAATTCAACTAGGAACAAAAGTGATTATTAAAATTGACCTCTTACAGCCGATGCACAATCCATATTCCCTCTTTGCCTTGTTATATTCGTTATAGAAGACAGGTACACTTAAACAACTATAAATAATACAGTAATCAATAAATCATAGGATCTTGTTTCTTATGTTGCTGTTTCCAATCCTGTTATTTTGTTAGTTTTTGTTAGTGTTGACAAGATGAAAAACATGAAAAGCAAATATTAAATGTGGCAGCATGTGTTCTGCTGAATTAGGCTCACTTTGACAAATCCATTGTGACCTTATGTCAACACTTTTAACACTTTGTCAGTAAATATATGACATTATTTTTGTACATTATGTACCTGAATGTGAATAGGCATAGGAATAGTTTCAGCCCTCCTGGCAGCAAGTCAAGTGAGCTTGTGTCATGGCCTGTTTGTCTGGCATCCGGCACACATCATCAGTAAACATCTTCTCCTCAGAAATCTTCTGGACCAATGAAGTTGAAACTTTGCATGCTTGTTCCCACCAGTGATGACACCGAAATGTTTTCAAGAGGTAGCCATATTCAGAAACCTATTTTTGACCATTGTTGTTCAAAATTTAATGAAATTTGTTTATTTGTTAGTAGTTCCTGGTTAGTGGATTAGACTCACCATATGTGTTCCATTTTGGGGGATATATTTAATTTTAACCTTGAATTGAGCTTTGGACTTCATCCCTAAAAACTGAAACTTATTATGAACATCACTCTGTCATTTTCTTTGTAAATTGGTTCATGTGTAGTTAGCTGTGGGATTCAACGTATATGTTCCATTTGAGATATTTTTTGTTATTTTGACCTTGATTTGACCTTTGCACTTTGTTCCTAAATTCTCATCATCTCCTCAGAAACCACTTGACCAAAAAAGATGAAACTTCGCATTATAGGTATATGTGTAACAAAGAGTGGGGCTGAATATATGGGTCCGTTTTTGGGGATATTATTAATTTTGTCCTTCATTTGACCTTTGCACTTCAATTCAACCATACTAAAAGCTGAAACTTATGGCCATTACTCAGACATTCTTTTTCAAAAGGTAATGAAACTGGGTATATGTATAGTTAGTTTTGGGTCTCAACATAAGTTCTGTTTTCACAATATTTTGACCTTATTTCGAGCTTTGCATTATGACCATGCTCTTAAAATATCCCATATGCATTTCCTGGTAAAGTAAACAGTAATTCCTCAGAAAATAAGACCAATGAAAATAAGACCTAACAGGGGCTGTCCAAAAGGTTAGAATCCTGTTTTCAATATGGCCGCCACAGTAACCATGTAAACAAATCTGTTTATGGCCAATACTCTTTCTCTTTTTTCAAATGTTATGGATTTGTGTGAAGCTAGTAGTTGGGCTCAAGATATATACTGACCACACTGAAAGCTGAAACTTCTTATGGCCATTAATGCTATTAAATGCTCTCAACCTTCATTTTTGACTCGAAGCATCTTCTCCTTTGAAATTGCAAGACTGAGAAAGCTGAACTCTGGCATGTATGTTAAAAATATTATAAAAACAATATTATCATTAGGATTATATAGTTTTTGTGTGAAACCACTAGAGAAATTGATTGAATTAGAAGAAAAAATAAATTCCTTAGAAGGTATTTCAGAGTTTAAACTTGTGTACAGTAAATTTAACTGTTCATGTATATTAAGTCTTTGAAAGGCATTTAGAAGTGATACACATAAGAAAGAGAATTTATGGATGTTAACTTCTTTATTATGAGGAACACAACATTTCGGAGTATATACTTACTCCTTCATCATGCGAATAAATGAATTAATTCATTCACATGATGAAGGAGTAAGTATTTACTCTGAAACATTGTGTTCCTCATAATAAAGAAGTTGACATCCATAAATTCTCTTTCTTATCATATAAATTGTGACTGTCTTATACAACAGGACATGTATTCTTGCAGATTTAGACATTTTGTTAAAATTTAGTTACTTGTTTCATTTTGGTTAATACAGTCAAGTCCTGTTAATCCGACATCGTTGGTTGCATATGATTATGTCGAAAAAACGAGAATGTCGGATAAATGAAATTAAGGAGTGTCAACGTTCGTCATGCATCCTCTAAAGCTTAGCACAAAACAACTGTTACAGACTGTATGACTTATTCAAAATACTTTATAAAGGATAGTCTGGAATGGAAGTTGCCAGTCTGAAACTGGTACCCCAAAGCTTAAGAAAGCGGCTTTCTTAGTGGCTAACGTTGGCTTCCTGTTAGTCATTTCATTGGTCGGTCATAGTTCGTGAAAGGTTGATGTGACCTGTAATGGGATGTCCTCGGCGATAGAGAGAACTTGTATCTGATTTTAATGAGATTGAGGTAATCTAAGCATGTGATTAATCCTATTTTCTTTATTTTAAGCATTACCTGGTAATTGTTT